CCAGCAGCCACTGCGCAGCATGCAGGTGGGGCCCGCCCGGCCGGGCTTTCTGGACTGGGCTTTAGGTCCACTCAAGCCCCCTCCGAGGAAACCACCCTCCACCCCGGGTGGGGCCAGGGGAGGAGGAGGGCCCACCCCCAGGTCCTGCCCACTAGTCCAGAGGGGTGGGGACCCGTGTGTCCCGGGTCCCTGGGTCTCAGAGGAGCCTCGTCTGTGAGGACGAGGACTAAGGGGCCGTCCACGCCCAGGCTGTGGGTGGCAACCCCGGGCCCCACCCGCCGTGTGGCTGCCAGCAGCTCCCAGAGCCCCCGCTCCCTGTGGGCAGGGCCTTAGGCTACCTATAAAGCACCTCCTAGCCCTTGCCTGCGTCACCTCACAGTCACCCAGTGAGGGAAGGAGGGCAGCAYGTGCGTGCCCACAGAGGGGGAAAGTGGACCTCAGAGAGGGAAGAGGCAAAGCTTCCCATCCAAGATGACTGGAGTTCAAATCCCTGCTCCACCCTTTACTAGCTGTGTGACCTTGGGCAAATTACTTAACCTTTCTGAACCTCACTATGAAATGCAGGCAACCCAAGTTCCCACCTCACTAGGTTCAATGAGCTAATATATCTGCAGGGTTGAAGCACATAGCCCTGTGCAGATGTAGGTCATCACCGTGGTCATTCATCCTAGCTGTGTGTGTGCGAGCACACACACCCACCCACACACACACACACACACACCCCCTACTGGAGTTCCAGAGCCAGAGCTGGGGGGGGGGGACAGGGCTGGAGGGACCACAGGCTTGCACCTGGGGTGGAGGGGGGTCCCCACCAGGTTCTGCCCTCACCCGTCACCCTGGTGAGGCTCAGGCTGCTGTGCYGGGGACCCCAGGAAGGCAGGCAGACAGACAGACCCCAGGCCTGGGCCAGCCCCGGAGCCCACCCGTGGCCTTGGGACCGGTCCTGTGCACAAAGGCGGGGAAGCGCCTGTTTGTTTTCCTGGGGCTCCGCGGGCATTTTTAGCTCCTCCAGACGAGGAAGAGGATGTGGATGTTTGGACGTCGTGGTCCAGTGGCCCGGCAGCTCCCTCTACCCGCCTTGGACGCTGGCAGAACTGGAGCCAAGCCCTCCGGGGTAAGGGGAGCCAGGCCTGTGGCTGGGAGAGCCTGCGGGGCTGGGTAGAGCCACCCACCTCGACACAGGACAGCAAGGTCATCTCTCCCAGAGAAGACAGGTCCACCTGGGCCTCTGCGGGGGTGGGGGCTGGCCCGGAGGAGCTCCCGGCCCCCGGTACTGAGCACCAGGGCTGTGTTCCTGCCGAGGCCCGCAGCCCGTGAGGAAGGAAGTATGACCAGCCCCTGAGTCCTCCGCTCTGCCYTGGAGGGCTGGTGCTTAGAGGATGCTCACACCCGGAGAAGAGGAGACTGAGGCTCAGAGAGGCAAACCAGCTGGCCCAGCATCCCCCAGAAAGGAAGTGGCAGCACCAGCATTTGACCCAAAGCTGTGATGCCAAAGCCATTTCCATGTTACAGGAGGCTTCCCCATGGTGGGCAGAGTGGCCCGCACTGGTTGTCCTGGTGACTCTGACTTGGGAGGCTGAGGCAGGAGGATCACAAGTTTAAKGCCAACCTCAGCAACTTAGGGAGACCTTATCTTAAGATTTTAAAAAAGGGGGGCTGGGCATGCAGCTTACTAGTAAAGTGCCCCCCCTCAAAATATTAACTCAGTGCATCCCCGTGTGGACTAATGGGGGAGGCCCAGCCTTTTCCTCATCCTGAGGCACCCGGGAAAGGTATGAGCTGGTGAGGAGCAGGGTTCCGGGCCTCCAGCACCCACCCATCTCCCCAGGGCAGGAAGCCGTGTGCTCCCTCAGGAGAGAGGCTGTGTCCTGGATGTGGGTCAACTTGCCCTCTGCAAATCAGGGCGGCCTCCTGTCCCCTCCTAAGGAGCCGACGGGGGATTCTGGAAGGGACGGGGCAGGAGAAGCCCAGGCAGGGAGGGGGCAGCCTCTCTTGCCAAAGAGAACTCCTTGTAACCTCAGGGAACCTGCCTGTCAGAAGAATGGGAAGCAGCCAGGTGTAAAAGGCTCAGATGATCCCTATCCATCTGAGCAGAGGCACCATGRCACTGTCAGGCAGCTGCTCCAGGCCCGGGAGGTACTGTCACTCTTTCAAACTGCACAGCGCGCCTGCAAGAGCTTGGCCGTCACCACCCTTCTTACAGATGGGGAAACCAAGGCCTCCGGCGGCTTTGAGCTGGGATTCGAACCCAGGCAGCCYRGCACCAGCAGCACCCGGTGAACCTCTCCCCCACCCACCCGACAGGCCAAGCGAAGATCGTGTCTGCCCTGGCACCTCGGCTGCCCTCACTTCGGAGTTTGACGGGCTACCTCTGCACCTGGCTCTTAGTTGTGCTGGGAACCTAAAAATAAAGCCTCTCTCTTTTTTTTAAAGGCAAACATGGTGATGCTGCATGGTTCACTCCCACATCAACTGCCCGGACCTCCCAATCACCTAGGGAAGGTTTGTTTTCCCCACTTACAGACAGAAAAACTGAGTCCAAGGCCTCCGTGTTCTTATCTGCAGAATTGGGGTGCAGATGGTCTGGTTCTGGGGAGTATGTGCAGATGAGCCGGTGCCCTGAGGGTGTCCTCACAGAGGAAAGGTGTGACTACCAGCTCACTGTGGGGAGCCCCTGTCCTGGAGGTGGGCCTACAGGCCCAGGCAGACAGACAAGTGCACACACAGCCCGGCAGCGGTCACAGGAGTGGGTCGCACAGGTAGGGCAGGTCGCCCAGCAGGTGTGACTGACTGTCTCAAGAGTGCTCGGTGCTCCTTGGGGGCAGATGTACTCCCAGTCACCGTGCACATCCCCTGAGGTCACCCAGGTATTGTCCGTGGTCCTTGATGGGGGCTGGAGGCTTCCCGCCGCCCCTCCCCCCACCCCAGGGCGGTGACACTCTTCCTTGGGTGAACACAGGGCTCTTGATGTCGTGGGACCACATCTGGAACCTGGTGAGTGGACACCGGTGCTCAGCACGGAGAGGGCTGGGGAGTGGGTGCCTGGTTCCAGTGCCCCTGCTGGGGTGGGGCTCCCGGGTCACCAAACTCACTCCATCCCCACAGTGGGGGTGGCATGGGAATGGCCTGCCCGCGTCACAGAGGGGAAAACCAAGGTCGGGAGGGAGACAGTGATTTCTAGATGGCTCAGCTGCCTAGAGCTGGAGCTGGATCCTAAGTCCCAGGACTCCCAGGACAGGGCTCCAGGGAAGGAAGGGGAGGCTTGGGGAYGCAGCCGGCTGCAGGTGGGATCTGGCTGGTGCGCAGGAGGGTGAGCCTGGGTGGCGGGGGGCAGCGGGGCCTGGGGAGATAGGCAGCTCTGTGTGTGCACCCCAGCTACACAGGCCTGTAAACGCGGGGACTGGCMGGGCAGGTGACACCAGGGTGCCAGCCCTGGCCACCCGGCCATGAGCCCCGCACAGGCCGGAGGAGCCTGCCCTCCGGAGACCACCGCCGGGTGGAGGATGATCTCAGCTCCCTCCGTCCCCCACCCCCCCAAGCTCCTTCCTGTTTTGATGGAAGGAAAAATTTTCAGCTTTTCCTTCTTTATTTTTCCAGACGGGTGACTCGCTGGGGAAAGGAATTCCCCCTCCCCACGCCGCCGTCATGCCTGGTATCGATGCCATAGATCCAGGCCCATCCTGTTGTGCTGGGACAGTGGCAGTTATTTTTGGGTGCCTTGCGGGGGTGGCGCCCCAGGGGAGGGGATGTGGGGTGCCAGGCTGCCTCCTTCCAGTCCTGGTCCCCCCCAGGCTCCTCCCCGCCCCCACCGTCCTCCGGCCGCGCTGGGGGGAAGGAAGCCCCGCTCCCTCCGCSGGGTATAAATAGCCCAGGTGGTTACTCAGCCGCGGGAACATGATAACATGAGTCACCCGCGAAATCAAGACAGCGCCGTCAGCCGGGCACCGCCCCGGGCACCGCAGAGGTGGGCTCCCGGGAGGGGCTGCGGTGCYGGGACAGCACCGTGCGGGGTCCCAGCCGGCGGAGAAGCTGCCAGGCCACAGGCGGAGTGGGACAGCTCGGCGTCCCCGCCCTCTCTGCGCATCTGGAGGGGCGGCTTCCTTCCCAGGGCCCTCCCCAGCCAGGAAGGAGGAGGAGGGCAGGGGCCACACTCCCAGCATCCTTGGGTCCTCCTCTCCCTGTGCCCGTCACATGGGGCGTACAGAATAAGTCCATTGGAACTTTTGGTCCCCTTGCCCCATTTCCAGGACAGGTGGCTTTTGGGGTCCCCTGGGCCTCGATGGGGACCTGTGGGATGGAGCAGGGGGTTGGGCAGCAGCAGAAGGGCCTGCGGGGCCGCGCCCACCACAGTGGCCCTGAATCGAGGACACTCTGCCTAACACCTTCCTCTGCGCCTGGCTGCAGCGTGGGCCCAGAAACAGGACACCCTCAAGGACCTCGCGCGGAGCCATGTGACCAGCCAGGCGGCAAGGCCAGGGCCTGGCCCTGCAGGCTGGATCAGCAGCCACCCAGCTCCGGCTCCTCACCCAAGTCCTCTGCTCCGGACTCATCTCCAGAGCCACACAGGCCCGACCCCGTTGCCATGGCAACGGGCTCTGGAGCCAGCGCAGGCCAGGCCACGTCTCCCATCCGCCTCGGGCCACCAGGCCTGGTGGGGACAGCAGGGCCACATGGGAGGGAGGAGCCCACCACACCTGTCCTGGTGGGGGAGTGTCTGGCGGGGCACAGTGGGTCTTCTGTCCAGGCCGCCTGTCGAGGCACTGGGGTGACCATGTGACCACATGGCTCTGTCCCTGGGACTGAGCCTTAGGACCCCAGAGTCAGGGGGAGATCGTGAGTCTCCTGGCTGTTGGGAGGTGGCACAGCTGAGGGCTGAGCACTGGGACCCCRGAACCCCCACCTCGGCCATGCAGCACCCCACCATCTCTGGCCTTTGTCCAAAGGGGGCCCCCAGAGCCGCGCCCCTGGCTCCCAACCCTGGCCTTGTCTCTTCTCCAGGAGACACAGCCCCACCCTGCCCCTGCCCCCTGCATGCCCAGACAGCTTGGCATGGCCCGGACCCCGCCATTCAATGGGTAGCCTGCCCTCTGGCCCCTCACACAATAGGGACTCCAGGAATACTGTCCCCCAGGCTGAATCAAAGGCTCTAAATTTAGCCCATCTGCTCCTGCGAGCTTCCTGCCCCTGCTCCCTCCTTTCCAGGCGATGAGGTCACCCCGGAACCGCCTGCCCTGCAGCCAGGCCGGGGGTTTCCAGGTCCGGGGTGTTCTGCTGCTCTGGGGGACAGGGCCTGGAGCGTCCTCCTCCCTCCAGGGCCCTGGGGCCCCTCCTGCTCCTGGCCCGGCGGCCGACGTCCTCCTGGCCACCCCGGCCGGGCTGAGTCCCGGGAATGTCACCAAAATGACTTATGGAGAGTCCAGTCCATGCTGGCCCTGCGCCCAGGAGAGGGCAGCGGACCGGACCGGGACAGGTCCTGCCCTCTCGGCAGGGACAATCAGCAAGTAGACCATAAACCAACCAGACAGTGTCACTCATGGAAAGTGGCCTGAAGGAAATAAAGGAGAGATGCCATCACGCACCAGGGTGAGCGGAGGGCATCGCCTGGAGGGGTCAGCGAAGGCCCCGGGTGACACCTGAGCCGGGGCTCGGATGACCAGAAGAACTATTCGAAGATCTGGGTGGGGCTGCACCCTCCAGGCCAKCGGAGGGTGAGGCAGACGCCGGGAAGAGCCCCCTGGCTCCGGGCGCAGCTGGGGGGGGGGTGACTGCGAGGGGGCCGTGTGCGGGGCGGCCAGCGGCCCGACTCGGTTTTAAAAAGCTGTGTCGCTGGCACATGGACAGGACCAGGAAGGACAAGAACTGAGCACCCTCAACTGCGGGCAAAGGCACCTTGAGGAGTTTCCTCCTTTAGTCCCTTCATGAGTCACAGTGGCCCAGAGAGGATATGTGTCCCACAGCAGGTCAGCTGTCCCCGGAACACCGCTGAGAGTAGGTAGTAAGAGGCACTTGGTCACCTGCCTTCAGCCAGCAGCATCCCCTCCAGGCTGAGCTAGGCTCCATGTGGGGGTGACGGTCGGCAGAGCCCGGAGGCCCGATCCCTGAGCGGGGGAGGTCCCCTGTCTGCGGCCGGCTCCCTCCCTCAGCACTGACCAGCTGCCACCTCCCCTCTGTCCCTCCCTGAATGGCTCCACGAAGCTCCTCTCCCCCACTCCGCCAGGAACCCAGGGTAGGCAGGGAGTGGGGGGCCTGGAATGTGGCCCTCTGATGCCACACTGTGTGCCAGCCTCTGCAGAGACCTGGGGGGCACACAGAGGGACCATCAGCTCTCTTCCAGAATGGGGAGGCTGGCAGGGGCCAGCCGAGGAGGGCAGGTCTCAGCTGGGGGACATCTCCTGTTGGAGCTGCTGTCCCTGCTTCCCCCAGGGTGGGAGCTGAGACCTAGCAATGGTGACCCTACCCACCCCTGCAGTGTCTCTTGTCACAAGGGCTCAGTGTGAGCATTTAGGAGGTGACAGACCCCAACCCAGGCCAGGCTTACCCTAGCACTCCTGATCTCCCCAACCCGGCCCCTGAGAGGACACTGAAAACCTCTCTGCTGGCCAGGGGGAGCCCAGGGAAGGCAGAGCGAATGGGAAGTGGGATACTCAGTGAGGACCCTGACTCCAGCTGTGTGACCTTGGGCAAGTGACTAAACCTCCCTGAACCTTGGTCTCCTCATTTGTCTAACAGCAATAATTACAGGGCCTAACCCGCTGGGGTTCCTGGGGCAGAGGAGTGAGTAGCTGGGGGTAAGAGGATGTTGGGGTTCACGCCCCCCCAGTGGTCCCAGGGTGCTGGAAACCTCTGATGAGGGTCAGGAGCAGCTGGAGGAGCCGGGGCCAGGAGAGGTGGCGAACATCTACCCAGTCCAGATCCACGGTGCACGGGCACTGGCTCCGCCAGGCTGTGGCAGGATGGCAGGATGGCAGGCGGGTGAGGACTCCTCGCCCCGCGGCTGAGCCCCCTCCCTCCGCAGCAGGACCCAGGCCAAGGAGGCTTTATTTTTAAACCTCAAACAATGGCTGGCCCGGCTCAGCCTCTCCTCCGAGGACAGAGAGAGCATGGAGCGGAGGGGCCAGGCTTCCTGGGCCAGCATTCCTCCCCAGAGGACGCCGCGCCCTCCTCCAAGACAGGCACGGAGCCGGCTGGCCCTGCTTCTCAGCTGCAGGGGGTCGGGATTCCAGGGTCTTCAGCAGCCCCCGCCCTGGCCAGGCCACCCACCCCACCCCCACCCCCTCCAGCCCTCGCCGCTCCCCAGGGCAGGGGGACACCGTCTCCTGGGAAGGCTCCCCCCGACCTGTCCAGCACCCGTGACCCCCTGACGCCCCCAAGTCCCCTTGCTCACAGCCCTGCGGGAAACTCCTGCCCCTGTGCAGCAGGACACTGTCCCTGACAGTGACCTGCGGTGACAGTCGAGCCAGGCAAGGGTGACTGGATGAGAGTCGGGGGGGGGGGGGCAGCCTRTGTGGGACCCAATGTCAGCCCCTGCGTGACCTTGAGCAGGACCCATCACCATCCTTTGTCCCGTCATTTCCTCTTCTGGGCAACGGGGACAATAAGCCACCCCACGCCATCACACGGCGAGAAGGGTCTTGGCTTCTGGGTGGGCAGGGGACGCTGGACATGGGGGCCCAGCCCCTGTGGTCCCGACAGAGACCCACAGACCCACACCCCCGCCAGGCCACCTGCTTCTCTCCCAGGTCTGCCACTGTCGGCCTCGGACCTGGGAGGTCAGACAGGTCACCGCCATCACCTCTTCAGCTGCAGAACGGCGGAAGCCACCGCGAGGTCAGAGAAACACGAAGCTGGGCGCCGGGTGACCCCAGAGTGTGGAGGACACCGGGCGTGTGGGGACAGGAACGGGCACCAGACTGTGGCACGTGGGCCACAGTCCCGCGTCCTGGGCGAGGCCATGTCCAGGCCTGGGGCCTGTGTGGGCTGCAACCTTGGGTGAGCGCCAGGGGGGGTGCAGGGGGGCGCGAGGAGGGCGTGCGGGGGTCCCCTCCTGGCCAGTATCGTTTCCTGCTGGACAGGGAGCACAGGTCACCAAGGTCCCCTCTCTCCTGAGCCTGGCCCCCCCACCCCAGAGGGAGACTCCTGGGGAGGAGAGGGACGGTCCAGGGAGAAGGGAAGGGCTTGGCGTCTCCTGCCTGGGCATCCTGGCTCCCTGCCTGTGACACTGCGAGACGTCCTTGGCCATCCCCCCATTCTGTGGGACTCTCCTTTGTCCACTACGGGGACCCAGTGTCCAGAACAGCACCACGCACATAGTAGGTGCTCAGCGAGCTACGCGACTGCCACCTCCGTGACCAGGCCCAGAGCGTCCCGCTGCCCCAGGGCCCCTCCTGCCCCTTTCTCAGGCCGTCCCTCTCCAGCTCCCTCCCGGGCAGCCCCGACCTGCCCTTGGGCACCTGAATTTTGCCTTTTCTAGAATTTCTCATAAGCAAGAGCGTGTGACCACCGACACCTGCCTCTGCAGAGCCAGCTCCCGTGGCCACGGGGGTCAGAGGAGGGGCCATCAGAAGGTGACAGGTGACAGGCACAGGTGACAGGCCCAGGAAAGGTGAAGGGAGGCCTGGCTGGAGAACTGATTTGGGAGGACTCTGTGGCCAGGTGGGAGTCTGGGCCTGGGGCAGCTGCCCAGATCTAAGAAGGGCCTCCTCAGCAGAGGCCAGGAGAAGTTGCGGGGGGCCGGGGGGCTCACAGACACACACACAAGTGCACACTCACAAGTACTGAGCACACTCCTGCTCACACATACAAGGAGGAGAGCAGGCCAGGCCCAGAAGGACGGCTCCGAGGCAGACGCACGAGGTCCAGGCCGAGGCCTGCTTGGTCCCTCTTCGCTGCCCAGGAGAACCCCCTCCAGGCTGCCCAGGGGAGCCGCGGCTGGCCAGGGTGGGCTGGCTGAGTGGAGCGCGCTCCGTGGCCCCTGAGGCTGTCACGGGAAGCAGCACTTGGTTCTCTGGACGCTGGCCTCTGCAGCCCCAGGCGGCCACTCTAGGACACTCAGCCGCCCACACAGTCCCAAGTCCAGCCACTGACCACAGCTGTGTGAGACCCCAAGCCACACAGCCTTGCTCAGCCCTTCCTGACTTCCTGACGTGCAGAAGCTACGAGAACAAGCTGCTTCTTGTAAGTTTTTTTTTTTTTTTTGTGGGTGGGGAGGGTACTGGGGACTGAACTCAGGGGCACTCGACCACTGAGCCCCATCCCCAGCCCTATTTTGCATTTTATTTAGAGGCAGGGTCTCACTGAGCTGCTTAGGGCCTCACCATTGCTGAGGCTGGCTTTGAACTTGTGATCCTCCTGCCTCAGCCTCCCGTGCCACTGGGATTACAGGAGTGCACCACCGGGCCTGGCTTCTTCTAAGTTTTAAGCTACTAAATTTGGGCTGGTTTGTTACACAGCAGTAGCTAACGGATCAGGATCCACTGCCAATCCTGTTGGATCAATGGTCAAAATAACCCACCACCAGCACCCAAAACCAGGCCACTGTGGTCTCCTGCCTGGCCTCCCGCCCTGTCCTTGACTCTGCCATCCATGCAGCACCACAGCCAGAGGCTCTGCTCAAAGCCCCCAGTGACTCCCTCGGAGCCCAGACAGGGAGGCACGGCCCTGTGCAACCCCACACCCTCCCTCTCCTCCGTCCCCCCACTCCCCTAACTCACTCCACTCCAGCTCTGGGGCTTCGGGCTCCTCCCCAGACTCACCAAGCACACCCCTTCCTCAGAGCCGCCACCCATGCTGTGCCCACTAGCTGGGGTCTCCCTTCCCACCGGCTCCCACATTCTGGAATGTGAGATGCCACCCATCAGCAGGCCTCCCCGACTCCTGCCCCTGCCTCCAGTACCCCCAGCCTTCACGTCCTGCTCCTGCTCCTGCTGAGGCTGGTAAATCCTGCTCGGCCTTTCGCTGCCTGTCTTTCTTGTGTTTCTGCAAGCCCCTGCCAACAGGGACTTTCTATGGTTTATCTTCAGTGCCCAGAGCAGGGCCTGGCCTGCCATGCAGCTGTGAGTGAGTGGATGGATGCATGCATGACTCATCTCACCCCTGATGGTGACAGGGTGACAGGGAGAGCGCTGAGCCTTTCAAGACAGGTTGCTCACAGGAAAAAAAAAAAAAAAAAAAAAAATCCAAGCCAGGCACCATGGCGCACACCTGTAATCCCAGTGATTCTGGGAGGCTGAGGGAGGAGGATCGCAGGTTCGAGGCCAGCCTCAGCAACTTGGCAAAACCCCATCTCAAACTAAAATTTGAAAAGGGCTGGGATAAGGGTCCGTGGAGAGCACTCGCCTATCGTGCACAAGTCCCTGGACTCAGTCCCGAGTACCAAGGGGAACAATTCCACTAAGAAGTGCACAGAGGACCTGAATAGACATCCCTGCCAAGAAGACCTACAAAGGCCAAGATGCACGTGGAGAAACGTCTGCACCACGAATCACCAGAGAGACGCAAATCAAGCCCCCGGAGAGCTCGTGACCCATCAGTGTGGCTATCATCAAAATCACAAGAAATAGCAAATGCCGGGTGAGAACGTGGAGGAAGGGAGAGTCCCAGACCTGTGGCCAGCACCGGCAGGACAGCCCGCAGAGCGGAGCTTCCTCAAAACACAACACCGAGCTCTGCTCCCCTGACCCCGCCACGGGGCCCAGAGCCGGGGACAGGAGTGCAGCAGGTCCGAGGTGTGCACTCCGCGATGATCCCTGCAGCGTCCTTCACGGTCCCAAGAAGCGCCCTCGACCCCAGCATCCATCGGGGGATTAGTGGCTAAAGAAAACGTGGCCTGTCCACAGTGGCCTCCCAYGCAGCCGGAAAAGAGGGTGATTCTGTCATGTGCAGCAACACGGGTGAGCGGGAGGAAGTGGYGTGTGGGGACGCGGGGACAGGGAGGGAAAGCCACGTGTGCTCACTGATAGGCAGAAGTTGAGGAAGTGGCAGCAGTGGAGCAGCCCTGAGCAGAGCCAGGGTGGYGGCTGGAGCAGGGATGGCGGGGTCAGCGCGCAGGCTGGACAGGAGGGTGACCGCATGCTCTGCAGCGCCCTAGGATGGCCAGGGCTGAGGTCATTGAGAGAGTATTGCAACATCGTCAGGAGAGGGATCCTGAGAGTTCCCAGCGCAAAGAAAGGATCCATGGTAAAGTGATTGGCACTACAGTCACCCTGATCAGCACACAGTGTGTGCATGTAGTGAGATACCACGCCGAACCCCAAAATGCACAATCATCATGTCTCAATTAAAAATCAACATTTAGAGGTGCAGCGGCGCACGCCTGTAATCCCAGTGGCTTGGGAGACTGAGGCAGGAGGATCGTGAGTTCAAAGCCAGCCTCAGCAAGGCACTAAGCAACTCAGTGAGACTCCGTCCCTAAATAAAACACAAAATAAAGAGGATGTGGCTCAGTTGTCGAGTGTCCCTGAGTTCAATCTCCAGTACCTGCCACCAAATTAACATTTAGCAGGTTTGGTGGTGCACACTGTAATCCCAGAGACTCAGGAGGCAAGTTAAAAGCCAGTCTCAGCAAGAGTGAGGCCCTAAGCAACTTAGCAAGATTCTGTCTCTAAATAAAAAGTGCTGGGGATGTGACTCAGTGGTCAAGCACCTGTGGGTTCAATCCCTGGTAGCAAAACAAAATCAACATTTGAGTTTTTAGAAACTAGGTTGCTCTCCTGCCCATTCAAGCTGCACCTCGTGCTTCAGAAACGCTGGTGGGTCATTTGCCTGTTCAGCAATGCTGGTGCAGGGACAGGGTCACAGCACGTCAGAACTTTCTGGAACCTTTGAACCAGATCTTCTCCAGTCTCAGGGCTGCCACCCTCAAGCGTCGAGTTACCTTTGCCTTAGCTTTCACACGTCCACCAAGGGGCAGGGGAAGATCTACCCCGCAGCTGTGGAGCCCTGAGCCCCAGCACCTCCCGAGGAGCCCGCCCACCATGCTCACCATCACCCAAGTTTCCCTTAAAAGAAAATCTGGAGACTGATGCCCCTAATGGCCCTTAAGGCCCTGCCCTCAAGGTCATCCTGAGAAGCTGGCGAGTTACTGCCCTGGGGTGGTGCCTGGCACAGAGTGGGCATCGAGGGCCAGCTCTGTGCTTGGAGCCAGGAGTCCGGGTGAACAAGACAGACTACGCCCCGTCCCAGCGGAGCCCATGTCCAGGCCTGGCCAGGCGGGCAGGTGGCCCCTGGGGGAGCCTCGGCAGACCTGGGGGTGAAGGAGGAGGCCAACGGCTGGAGGAGACCAGAGAAGCCAGGGTGCTGGTGGGCTTCCCTGTCCCCACCTCTGAGGGACAGCTGCGTGCTGCTCTGCCCCCCCCCCCCCCCCC